TAATTTGGCCTCTCAGAAAGTTCTTAATTGTTTCTTATGGAGAGGACACGAGGAGCAGAGTTCAGTCTCGAATGTCTCGTTTAGCCGGAAAAATAAAGGAGACGTTTCTCCTGACAGGAAGTGAAGTGAAGGGCTCCAGACGCCCCGAAAGCGATCGCTCCCCGAACGGATTAAAGCCGCGTCCAAACCCACAGCCAGACCCAGGAGAAGCCGTCCAGACCCGGTCTACAGAGGGTTCACCACAGGAGAAAACTGCCTGAAAAGCTCTGAGGCTCCAGGCCCGAACCAGAACCAGAACCAGAACCAGCCTGGTTCAGTTTGGTTCTCCCACAGAACCAGAACCGGTCCTGGTTCAGTTTGGTTCACCAACCCGGGGAAAAGCCGACCCGGGACCTGTGGAGTCCGGGCCCCTGGATCTCTGAGGCTCCAGGCTGGAACCAGAACCAGAACCAGAACCGGCCCGGTTCAGTTTGGTTCTCCCACCCGGGAAAAAGCCGATCCAGGACCTGTGGTTCTGGGCCCCCGTTTGGCTCCAGGCCCCCGGAACCGGAACCGTAACCAGAACCAGAACCAGAACCGGTCCTGGTTCAGTTTGGTTCTTTGGGGAAAACCCGACCCGGGACCTGTGCTTCTGCACCCCCGTTTGGCTCCAGGACCCCTGAGGCTCTAGGCCGGAAGCAGAACCAGAACCGGCCCGATCCCGGTTCAGTTTGGTTCTCCCACCCAGGGAAAAGCCGAAGATGGGACGGCGGCTCCAGGCCAGAACCGGGACCAGAACCGGTTTCCGGTTCAGTTTGGTTCTCCCACAGAACCAGAACCGGTCCCGGTTCCGCTTGGTCCTCCCACCTGGGGAAAAGCCGACTTGGGAACAGTGGTGTCTGGGCCCCTGGATCTCTGAGGCTCCAGTACCAGAACCAGAACCGGCCCGATCCCGGTTTAGTTTTGTTCTTCGGGAAAAATCCGACCCGGGAGCTGTGCTTCTGGACCCCCGTTTGGCTCCAGGCCCCCGGAGCTCTGAGGCTCCAGAACCAGAACCAGAACCGGCCCGGTCCCGGTTCAGTTTGGTTCTCCCACTTAGGGAAAACCCGACCCAGGAGCTGTGCTTCCAGGCCCCCGTTTGGCTCCAGACCCCCGGAGTTTGTCCGCTCGTGGTCCTGGTAACCCGTCGTAAAACAGCAAACGGCCTGAAAAAGGCACTAGGCTGGAACTGGAACCGGAATCAGAACCGATCCCGGTTCAGTTTGGTTCTTTGGGGAAAGTCGACCCGGGACCTGTGGCGTCTGGACCCCCGTTTGGCTCCGGGCTTTCTGCTGGTGGTCCTGGTAACCCGTCTAAACAGCCACAGCTCCATTATTATTTTATCCCGTGGATAAACAGCCACAGCTCTACCCCAGACTGACCTACTCTCAGCTCCTGGCCGAACACGGTCCTCTCGCCCAGGGCCGAGCAGTTCCAGCGGCCGTGGCGGAACTGGAACTGGCACTCGTCCAGGCCCAGCTGGGCGCCCTCGCCGATGACCACGATGGCGTCCGGCCGGCTCCGGCACAGCGCCCGCTGACCGGGGGCCAGCCCCGGGATCTTGTTGCAGATGATGTTCGCCCCCAGAGCCACAACGGAGGACAGAGCCCTGCGGCCAGAGGGAGAAGAGGTCAGAGGTCAGACCGGGCCCTTTCTGGCCCCCCAATGTGCGCTTTTCTGTAGTAATTGGTGGGAATTGTTGGGTTTCTGTAGTTAACTTCAGAGTAGGGTCTGACCTGCTCTGTTTAGAAAGAGCTGTGAGACAACTGTTGTTGTGATGTGGCGCTGTATAAATACAATTTAATTGAATTGAATTCATTTTAATTTTGTAATGTCATTGTCTGTGTTTGGACTGATTTTGTATTTTATGATTTTGTGTTGTTTGGTCTTCCTGCCTCAGGACTACAGATGTAAACTAGCAACTATGCTATAATCTGGATCATTTACAATCATGTATGAGATTGTTCATTAATGTGCACTGTCCTGATTAAATAAATAAATAAAGTAATTAATATTAAAAAAAAGACCCCAGATGACACCAAGAGAAAGAACAATAGCTCCACGTTCCCTCTAACCCTCCGAACCATTTGTGGGTCTCTTTGTGAGGGTTTTCATGCGTCTGTAAGCAGAGCATGAAGTCATATTTTACAGCACTCTTTTCCATATGTCGGCTTTTGTGTGAGGAGGTGATCCAAAGTGGGCCTGCTCACGCGCGCAAATCCATAAAAGCAGGTAATCTCATCAACCACGAGCATGCCAAACTTCGTACAACCAAACTTCACAAGTGGCCGTTTTATGGGTTAATATTTGGGGGAATTAGGGGGAAATCCGCGTAGTTCGAGCCTCTTCAGGGTATTAAAATGAAAGATAATTAAACTACGTTTCACCAGTCACTCAAATATTCCAGCATTTACAAACTACAGAGCTTTACCCTTTTAGATATTTTTTTATTTAACTCTTTCCTTTGGATTCCCCAAGAAATAAAACCGATAATCAGCACATTTAAAACAATCTGAGATCCGGTTTTGCGCGTAAATGGACAATTTTACGCGCAAGGCTCAACTCCCTCCGAGGGGACATTTTTTAAATTTGTATTATTATTCAGAGGAAACGTACAGGTAGCTACCGCTGGTGAGGATGAGGAGGATGTGGGGGTAGTAGACGGACAGCAGCGGGAGGATGAGCATGGTGGCGCATTGAACACTGGATTTGCGCTCTCGGTTTCCAGAAGAAAATAAAAAGAAAAAAACGGCGTAAAACGTGAGTGGACGCGTCCTTTTGGATGGGAGTCCGGTTCCGGTTCAGTTTCTTCAGCCCGGGACTCCAAACTCCGCTGTCCGAGTCCTGGAGGCGCGCGGCTGCATCCCGCCCGGCGCGCGCTCTGCCACCTGGAGCTGGAGGAGGACGAGGAGGGGGGGGGGGCCCCGCGCGCACGCCTCTCCCACGCGCCCCACGCACGACTCTCTCACGTGACCTGTCAAACTTTTCGTTTTAAAACCAAAACTTCTCGCTAATTGGTGATTTTTGTGACGTTTTAGCTTGATTTTACGGGTTAAATCTTCCCAAATGCGCACGTTTGCCCACGTTTTTGGCACACAAATAAAGCAAACTCAGCCAAATTTACAGGCTTATTATAAAAGGTGACTCAGTTAATATAACTAATGACAATGAA